TCATCTTATTGAAAACTGAGTAAACTGTGGTTCTTGGCAACTGCCAGGAGGAGGGGGAAGTATAAAAGGAAAGGAAAGGTTCTAGAAATTAGGCAGGCTAAACAACAGAAACTGTGCAGCTGTGGAGGAAAGTCATCAGAGATACAGAGAATACATGGAGTGGGGGGGGCGAGCAGGCTTACATATTTGACTAATATTTGTCAAAAGGAAATAAAAAAGTGAAAAGTTTAATAGAATATAAGGAAAAAGTGTGGGAAAAAATGGAGAACTGGGTACCCAAAGTTTTTTTTTTCTTGTTTTTATTGAAAGGGTGAATATTTGTACTCTTCTCTGGATAATGTGGGCCTTATGTATGAAAGTAGTACTCAGCCATTTGGCGCCAACAAGGAGGATGCACCCATGTCAGTCCTATATTCCCATATTGATAATTCTTGCACTCAAGAGGTGGAAGCAGGGAGGCAAGAAGTTCAAGACCAGCCTTAGCTATATAATGTAAAGACATGCTGCTTTAGAGGAGACAAAGTGTCAAAACACAAGTATCAAAAAGACATGGCTATGTCAAGGACATCATCAAATATCAGACCAAACACCTTAGGCTTGATGTGTCTCTTTTCCTTACAAGGTAAACCTTTCTACAGGATGTTAAAATCAACAGGTGCCTTCCTAACATCCTCATTCCATCAAGTTTTGTCAGTATTCATTGAAACAGTTCTCTTAAGGGGTGCTATCATTCTCTGTTCATGTACATAATCAGTTCTGGCATCAGCAGGAAATAGGTCACGTCATTTTTATTTGAGTTCCCAATGTACACTAAGCGATAAGAAAGGGGAAGAGATTTCCCCAAGGCTAGACAATGTAAGCATGTAAACATGACCAAGATTGAGCACAAGAGTGTAAGCGATATTCCAGTCAAAGCCTGTATTCCCCTCCAAGATAAATAACTTTACTCTGTCTAAACACTGAGCATAGCAAGCCTAAATACATTATCCATTGTTCCAACCCATGGAAAAAGGTGATATTACTACCAGCTAGCAATTGTGATTACAGAACAAATATCTGTGTTCAATACTTATGTACACATTCTAAGTCTATTCTCCTACCAAACAAATACATTTTAACATGTATTTTAGACTTAGTCTTGCAACCAGGCCTACCTTGACTTCCGCACAGGCTTTCTTCATTGGCTTTAACATGGTTC